TCTTACCAAAAAGGATAAAATAAATTTTTGGAAACAAAGATTTTCATATCTTCTAAATAAGGAAAGAAGATATTCTGATTTCAAAATCTCTTTCCAAAGCCTTCTCCCTATTTTCCTGTATATAAAGAACGTTCACGCCTTAAACATTTGCTGGCAGTAGAGTTTTTAATTTTAAGGCACTCTCTCAGTTGAACGAATCCTATATTCTCTCAAAACTTAACTCTCTACCCCATTTTCTTTCATATCTACACTTAAACGTTTCAATAGGTTAAAGTGAAAAAAGAATTTTACAGTTGCTTTTGAAAAATAGTCGTGTTCCTAATTTGATCTCTCTAATCTGATAAAACTGTTTTCCTTGTGCTTAATGAGCGTTTCTTTCTGTCTATTTAGATGTGTAATCTATAGTAGAACAGACTCTTTATTTGTTAAATTTTTGTGTATAGCTTAGGTTAGAGACTATTGAGATAGAAAGTTTTATCAAAGCGACCTTCTCCATGTGTGGATTTAATGTCTTGAATTGAGTTTTCTGTTCTCTCCATAAAACAGGAAGGGGTTGAGGTTAACAGAACCTTTGGAAAATCTAATCTTAGCTGGGACAAAAGGGTTAGATCGAGGTTTGTTGATCTATGCCTTGACTGTTGGTTTTGTCTACTTACCCTTTAAAGAGATTAACTTAGTTGAGGATCTCAAGATGCCGTCTTGGGGAGTGGATGTAGTGAGTTAGTGCCGAACACATATTAATTCTCGGTGTGATCTTCTTTAATTTCTTGAAGTTGATTGATTACTGTCTCTTTTACACTTGTTTAATTTTTAGAAACGCTAAAATTGTTAATAATTCAGATGTTCTAAAACGGTAAATTCTCATCTATCTTGAACATTAGAACTCTAGTATTCTAATAAAGTGAATATACAATATTTCTCAATGTTGTTCTATTCCAAGTATAATTCACTAATTGGGTTCCTATTTTTATTTTCTAACTTTATGAGGATGTTTCTAAAGTTCAAGTTCTAATTCGATTACTTTTTTTTCATAAAGAAGCTCTGATATTGTAAAGTCAGTGTGAAGCTGTTCTAATTAATAGCTGTACTTTTTGCACAGACTTTCTATATTTGAAATATGAACATTGTGATGGAGATTCTAATCCATATTCTACTCTCACAAAGTTGCTGAATGTTTTCCGCCCGGCACTTGTAGAATTCTAATCTCTGTATTAGCATTTTCTTAAATTTATTTCACGTTTTTAGAAAACCAATTCACCCCCTATTGGTTGCTGCCATACATTAATTGGCGACCACAGAAAGCTCCCATGAATTTTTAGAAATATAGAAGCAAAGGTGCTTACATACAAAAAAAAAAAAAAAAAAAAGAATAAAAACCTACAAATGGATTGATCGTAAGGGTAATAGTGTCACAAACAATGTTTGTCATTCATTGGGCATCTAGAACCGGAATCTATTCAAATTGAACTAGTAAAAAAAAAAAAAAAAAAAAAAAGAATTAAAAACCTACAAATGGTTGATCTGTAAGGGAATAGTGTCACAAAAATGTTGTCATTATTGGCATCTGAACCGAATCTATTCAAATTGAACTAGTCAGTTCAGTCAATTTTAATCGATTTTTACCATGTCGAGTTCTATTTTAAATCCAATCGATGAATTCCTATGAAACCAACTCGAATCAAATAACAAATTCGGTTCAAACTGAATAAACCAATACTTCAAAATGGATTGGTTTAGTTGTTTTTGCACACCCCTACTTACATGCATCAAAAGAAAAAAAAGAGAAGATAAAAGGCTAGAAATGGTGATCTATGAGGGAGTAACGTCATTAAAGGTAGTGTGCATGATAGATCAAAGCTAATTGAACTCCATTAATGATTAACATCAATGAAAAATTTTTTATATATAAACTATTGGTTAAGTGCACAATTAGTGCTTGGAAGGTGCTTAATTAGGAGCTTACATGATCCACCAATGTTGCTCTCTCCATATGTTTACATGATAACTTACTTTAATTGCCTTGTTTAAATGGAACATGCAAATTAATTAATCAAATGTAGATTAATTAATGTTGTCATAATATATAAATATGTACATTGCCATTTCCTATAGTTTATGTAACACAATATTTTTTTATACATAAGAGTCCCAATGAACCGGAATAATATTATGGGCAACACATCAGGGTAGCCCTCCCATTTGAATGACATTCACCAAATTGTTGATAACTTTTATAATAGAGAGGACTCGAACTCGACACCTTTCACTCCTTACATCGTTTACGAGAGGTAGAAAGACCAATCAGACTACACCTGATTTATATGTATGTAACATAATGGTGACATCTCTCATCTAGCAACAAAATATAAAATATGTAGATGAGCATGAAATTAAATATTTTGATAAAAAGTAAGAAAAACCTTATTATCAATTTCAAAATAGATATGTTGATATTGGTTGTTGATAGCTCCATTAGCTTAAACTATAACTATTAATATTTGAAATGAGCTTCCATTATTCATAAAGATAATTATCTTATAAGAAGTACTGCTTTTCAGATCTGAATTAAATTTGCACAATTTCCACCCACAATACATTGAAGCTTTTTCTGTTACTGCGTATGAAATTTGGTAAAAATTTAGGTATTTTTTGTTTGGATTCATCCTCTCACTTTCACTCTCACTCTCCCTTTTAACAAAGATATTGTAAATTAAATGCAAGAAATTGAAGCTACTTAATCAAGATTAATTATATTAATTACTTGATTAGTGCATGCTTATGCTTATGGAATGTAATTTTCAACAAATCATTATTAAATAAAAACTGAAATACACCCACAGTTTTCGGACCATATCTTGGAAAAGGTCCACCACTATTTGTTTGTTTTTTGTCGTTTTATCATCATGCTGCTACTAAATTTAATTATTCTCTTTCAAAGTTGGTTGGATTAGAAGACACGATAATATAAGTGCTCATTGTCTAGTTAGAGTGTCCTATTGTTTTAATCGTGTTCATGTTTGGGACTCAATGTCTGACTGTTTGATGGATTATTTTTCCTTGAAATAATATATGATACTTTTTCTCTTTCAAAAAAAAAATTAATTATTCTCGACACTCATGTAAAGATAGAAATTATAAATTTTATAGAAATAAATTTAAGACCTAACAGTCTGGAGACATTAGATTGTACCGTTACGCGAAACATCATTTGTAAAAAAGACAATTGATTAAGGATGTAAAAAAAAAAAAAAAGAAAGATCAATGTCATAGCTATTGTAACTAATAAAATATTCAAATTGGATCTAAAAAATGTAATTATTTTAAAAATTACTAACATATAGATATAAATATAAGGTGTTTTTGAGTGATTATTTTGTCCTACAATATAAATCATTTTGAGTACTTTAATGAGTAATAAATAATATTTTTTCAATATTATTATTGTTTATATTAGATAAAATAAATACCGTAACAAATAACTACTGTTTTTGAGATAAAGATAATTTAATATAATTTAATATAATTTAATCAAATCACTTTTGGTTTTGTTATAATTGATGAGAATTAATTATTTTTTTAATCTTTGTACAAAAATCTTAAATGACTCATATTTTGGGACAGAGTTAATAGAAAACCGTAATTTTCAAACTTCTGGATTCTATCAATGTTAGGTATGCTTTGCTTGTATTCTTTAATCATTGATTAATTCTTAATTGTAAACAACGATGCTAATTGGTTCCTTAAATATATAGATTATTAATTTGATAGTGCTTCATTGAACACCTAATATGATACATTGATTATTGTTTGCACCAAATTTTAAATTTTGTGAGCAATGGGTTTGAGTTATAAATTTCAAATTAATTTATATTTAAATTAATTAATTTGTTTTAAATATTAAAAGCCTCTAATTAATTAATTAATTAATAGTTAAAGAAAAAATTAAAAGAAATTAAAGTGATCAAGAAACTATATACTGATATTTGTCATTTAAGATCTTTATATAACGATTAAGAAAGTAATAATTTTCCTACATTATACTAATAAAATGTTTATTCGCTTGATTAAATTATTCTTTATTTTACAATATTAATTTGACTAAAAATAATTTTAAAACATTATAAAAATAATTATTTTATTTAATATAAATAAGAGTAAATTCTTTCATTAATCATAGACATTTATAGATAAAAAAATTATTCTAAAACGATAAATAGACAAATGAAGCATTTTTTTTTAAAATCAAATGTGTCATTATAATTGCATAGATATAGTAAAATTAATTTTATATCTGTCTTTCCATTGATTAATGAAGTGGTCCATACAAATTAAAAGTGGGTTACAGAAAGATGTTATCATCCCAAGGTGAGATAAAGAAATGAAGAATAAAATTAATTGGAAATTAATTACAAAATGCACAAATGATTATATGCTAAATTTAATAGTATAATTATTTGATATTTATGTCAAAATTGATGGACAAATGTCAATCAGCCAGTAACTTAGAGGTCTAGTGCCTCGCTAAGGGTCCAACCACTCAGGTCTAAAAAATTGATTTGATGTCACAGCGAATGATTCTTGTCTCTTTACAACGTTGTGAGCTATACAGCAATAACTAACTAGCCGTTGCGGTGGAGAGTCCCTCCCTACATCTTCTGTAAGAAAATTAATTAGATCATATTTAATTAACACTCTTTATTTTACATTATTATTATTATCTCATATTATTATATTATATATAATATAAATAAAGGTAAAATTGAAAAAAATAATTATTTATTACTCTTTAAAATAATCGAATTTTTTTGAAAATGTCTCTAAATATGTGGGAAGTTGAAGAGTTTCAAGAATTATTTCTCCAATAATAAAAGTTTAGTTACAAAATGCAATTTGATGAGAATTATTAATCGGAAAGACTACTCTCAGCTGATTATTATATAGTCTATAATATTATTCCAACTAATTAAATCTCTAACAAATTAAAAAAAAAACAATAATAATATCAACAAAATAAAAACATCTCTGATATTTTCTCTACTATACTAACAAATACATAATTTCTTTGAATCTTCTTACAACTTATATTTCCCTATTTCTTAATTTCTTACATATTTGCCAAAACATAGGGAGTTATAATATAAGCACTCTTTAACAAGAATCAAATTTAAGAAATTGTGCAGGTGCTGTTAAATTCTTGAGTTCGATGTTTCTTGTCATAAGAACTATCTAAGAGTAACATACATTCTGCTTGATGATGGTATTTTGGCTTGATAAGGTTCAAAACGACACGAAAATGCGAGTTTAGGCTTACACGAATCAAAATTGGCAATCCATTTCCAGATTCTAGCATGTCTTGCATGTTTCTTCCTGCTCCATACATTGGTTTGTTTTTTGTTCCCACTGATAATTTGAATACTGTTGAACTATGGCTCTCTGCATATAGCTTTGAACCCTGCCATGTCAAAAGAAAAAAAAAAAAAATCACATTTCACACGAAATAATTTCTTAACTTCTTCTTCGTTTGTTTTTCCATGACTATTCTCATACCCTTTTCGGGTACGAGACTAATATCGTTTTAAAATTTATGACTGCTCATTTCCATAAGTATTTTTTCATAAATCGAACCGTTGATCTTTCAAAGATTCTTCGCAAAATATAAATAACTATTAGCAAGTGTTATTCTGATAAATAGGCTGATTTAATTTTTCAAGTTTTTTTAATATAAACACTTTATAACACGACAATATTATGATACGAAGTCATTTAGACTCAACACTAAACCATTTAATTTTCATGTTAGATGAATCATTTTGTCATGTTATGACCCGTTTTGACATCCCTCGTAAACTTATGAACTTACATGTGAGATTGCAAACGGGAGGCGACCGAAGAACATTTCTAGTGTGGGAGGTTGAACGTTGAGGCCAAAGAGCTTAGACTTGTTTTCAACAAGAAGATCCACTGAACAATTGCATGTGAGTATCTTAGTTGTAACACCACTTCCATCCACTCCTTCCCCTAGTCCAAATTGCCGGATTCCTGCAATCTACAACACATTTCCTCTGACTTCAAATCTCTAAAAATTAAAATAAAATCGAATTGATAAAATTATATGATGAGTTGATTAATTAAAATTACCAATCATTCAACAATATATCAAATTGAAACTGAAAAATGAAAATAAGAGCTTGGAACAAAAACATTTTTCAATTGTATTTATCTCAATTCACTTTAAAAAATCTAACACATCAATTTGTTTTATACAAGATTGATTTGACCTTATCCTATTAGGAGTGTCCAAAAATAAAAAAGATGCAACTGTTCTTTACTGACACAAAAATCATGGGCAAGTTTCTGTCAAAAGAAAAAGATTCTCTCTATGAATGTATCAAACAAATAACGAAAATTCCATGTAGCTACAATTAGTTTCCCGTTGCGGGACAAGTTTGGCCCCTGAGGTTTTGATAGCTAATTGATAAGTGGTAGTCAGGGAGTCAAGGCCCACTGACTGACCTGCAGGGCCTGCCTTAGTTGGACTGTTAAGCATTCTCTATTTGTCGCCTTCGAAAATTTCAACTCTATTCCTCTCACTCCTCGCTTTCTTTTTAACTCAAAAGAAGATAAATAAAAACATATGTTATTGACATGTTCCTACTTATATTAGCACTATAATTGTAAATGAGTCAAAGTGTTTTGGTTTAAAAATGAAATTCATTCAAGCTTATCCGATAAACTTAGCAAAAACAATTTAATGACGTCAGCTTTTAAAAAAATTAGGTTGATTTATTTGGCAGAATTAGCGGTTAGCTGTTTTAAAATTATCGATTAACTGTTTTAGAATAACTTTTCATAAAATGCTAAGAACTAAATATTTCAAGATTAACATTCATAAAGCACGGTCTATCTTAACTTTTAAAAATTAGTTCAAATGCTATGTTATCGAAGACGTTAAAAAATAGTGTTTAGCTATTTAAAAAGTTATTACTGAATACATCCAGTAATGATCAAGCTTGTAATTATTTTCTAATTGAAGTAGGAACTTGCATTCTTTTTACAAGTTTGGAACTAACTCAAATCTCATAGCTAAAAAGAAGATATGAAAGAAAAGTGGATAATGTACCTTAATGGACATCGTGGGTGCTGGTGGCTTCGTAGCAATGTAGAATACGAGCAAGGCAACTCCTAAACTTAACAAAAATCTCCAACTAATTTGCAAAGTAACCCAAGCACAAGAAGAGCTTTTTCTAAAAGAACAATATCTCCACCACCATCCTTTCTTCCCATAATAATACTCCTCATCTTCATCTTCTTCCTCCTCTTCTCCAAATCCATGCTTATCGATAATGATCAAACTGTTAACGCCAGTTTCATCTCCTGCAGTAACCTTCTTTTCATTCAAGAAAGAGTTGTTGGAGCCACGAGAAGAGGAGTAGCGAGAAAGAGTGAACCTTGAAACCTCAGGAGTGTTATTATTCTTGTTGAGAAGAATATGGGTGTCGGATCTTGTTGGTGAGTGAAATGTGGATTCAAGATTGTGGGTTTTTAGAAGCTCTGAACTGTTTGCATGAGAAATGGTGGACGGGCTTTGAACGTAGTATGCACATGGGTAGGAGTGAAATAGTGTTTCTTGATCTTCACTGTCCATTTTTCTATGAATGTGAGACATTTTGTTTGTGTTAATGCCTCAGAGAGAGAGAGAGAGAGAGAGGGGGAAGTGTTTCTGACAAGAGAAAGAGATAGCTTTGGAGGGTTGCTATATAAACTGAACACAGTCTATTGAGCTTGAAAGGTTGCTTTGACTTGGTGAGAATGTGATATCTTTAATTTTTTTTTTAAAAAAAAAATTTAAGGGTAAGGTGATATTATTTGTAAATTTTACTTATTACCCTAAAAAGGGGTTATTTCTCACTTTATATAATAATAAATGACATTACCAAAAATAGAAGAAAAGGAGAAGAGAAAAGAGCCGAAGCATTTCGCCGCACCCATATTACCACGCGGAAGAGACATGAAAACCTAAAAAGAAACCCTATCAATTTGTTCCGACTTAAGATAATAAGCTCATGAAATTTGTCTTCTCAACCATTAAAATTAAATTATAAACTACATCTAACGGCTAAATCTATATGCTTTAGAGAAATTAATTAAATTAATGATAATGAAGCAAAGTGGAGCCAAAAAAAAAAAAAACATGAAAGAAAATATCAGGCAAGAATTGCGGAAGGCCTCTCTTTTTCTATTAACTAGTGTTTGCTTTACACCGAAATGTCTCTGTCGTTTTACATATCCTGGGAATGATGACAGACTAAGCACGCTTTTACCTCCCTCTAATTGCGTTTCCCATTTTTTATATCTTGTGGAGAGAAAGTATACATTCTTTTCTCGACAAACAAAATTTTATTCTTCCCAATGCTTTCCACACACTTCTAGCTATCATTATTTTGTTGCTTCTCTTCTATTATGTGTTTGTCTGAGCTCTACTCGACTCGTTTATTTAATAAGTTCGATAAATAAATATGAAGTCAGCTTGTTAAATTTATCGAATAAGTTTGAATAAATTTTTTTCAATATGAGTCTCGAATAATTTGGAGCGATTTAATTTATCCGTAACCATATATTTTGTAAATAATCTAGTTTGAATAAGTTTAGTAGATAGATTTGAGCTCAGCTCCTTAAACTTATCGAACGCGTTTGAATAAATTTATTTTAATCGAGTATCGAACAGTTTATGAGTGACTTAATTTTTTTATGACGACGTATGCAAACCTAAATGCATTATCATAAGTCATTTAATGGTTTAATTAAATGAGAAAGAGGGAGAGAGAGAGTTAATTCATGAAAAGAAAAAAGAAGATACAAATTTAATTAATTGTAAATATTCCTTGGTTTCCAAGAGAGGATGGATTGAAATAGAAGAGTGTCTATATAAATATGATAGTCATGATTGTAGGTAATAGTGAGAAAATTGATAAATAATAATAATAATAATAATTTTTTTCAATAATGAGTCCGTCGCAATAATGTTGGCACCGCCGATTTATTTATCCGTAACATAATGATTTGTAACATATCGTTAGTTTGAATAAGTTTAGTTAGAATTAGATTTGAAAGCTCGCTCCTTAAAACTTATCGAACGCGTTTGAATTAAATATTATTATTTAATCGAGTAATCGAGACTCCAGTTTATGAGATGACTTAATTTATTGTATGACGACGTTATCCAACGTAATGCAATTATCAAAGTCATTTAATTCGGTTTATTAATTATTGAGAAGAGGCGAGAGTCAGAGAGTTAATTCATGAAAGTAAAAATAAAGAAGATACATAATTTAATTATTGTTAAAATATTCTGGTTATCAAGAGAGGAGGATTGAAAATTAGAAGAGTGTCTATAGAAATCTGATAGTCGATCTTCCTCACCCCGGCTTATATTAAGTGAAGTACAAATTGACTAAATCACACTGAGCTAATAATAAAATAATAATCAATTAATAATATAAAATAATATCATAATAATCTATAATAATAATAATAATAATAATAATCTAAATGGTGAGCAGCTTTATTTGCTTTTATGGCAAGACATTATGAGTAGCACTTCTTACTACTATCATCATTACCAAATACATAGATCCAATCTAATCTAACATAGAACCCTCTTTTAATCTTCATATATACTGCTCTTTTTTTTTTTTTTTTCAATTTCATTTTATTTTTTATTTATGGTGTTTGGATTTTTATTAGGTAAATAAGACATATATTATACATACCAGCTCCAGATATTAATATATTTTTTTCTCAAAATTATAATATTTTATAAAGACGTGCTATCTTATATTACCCGCACATATATTTTTCATTGGTCGAAGAACCAACTCACTCTCAAATGGAAAAAAAAAAAAAAATCATTTGTACTTAATTATTTCATTTTCAAAGTAAGAAATTATGTAGAAATTAGGTTAAAAGATAAAAGCAAAGCCTGTATTGAGCATTAGGGGTGTGCATGGATCGGGTTGGAATGAGAATTCATAATTTTCAATCTCATTCCAAAATATCGGAACATAAAAAATGGAGTTTTAATCCCGTCCCAATAGATGTATAATCTCGTCCCATCCCGTCTCATTTTTTGGGATGGAACGAGACGGAAATTCGAGTCTATCAGACATGATGGAATGGGTCGGATCGAGAATCAATCGGGATTATAGTCTTACTAAATTATTTTTCATCAAAAAAAGATTAAAAAAAACCTACTATATTCATCAATTACAATCAAATAAAATTCATTTATATAAGTTTGAGTTTAAAAAAATAATAAATTAAATGATTAATTCAATCATTGATGATTTATTACTAAAGTTATCAAAGAACATTTTTAAGAAGTTATTTTCTAGTTAATAAAAATGTTAAATATAATAAAATAAAATAAATTTTTAAGAAAGTTATATTTTTCTATTAATAAAAATGTTAAGATATAATATAGAAATTATAATAATTCAAAAATTATATACAATGGTTATTATATTTCATGAATTTTTTAACGTCTGTCATAGTTTTTTCACTATTGTCTATTAAAAACTAATTTAAATTCTACTAGAAAAATTTTATATTCCATTTGAAAAAATAAATAATGACAGCAGTAAAGCATAAACCAATAATCCAACAATCAGATTTAATGAATTATACTATTTCTCTTGTATTAATTAAGATCTTGTTTACTTTAATAGAAAAAAATATATTAAAAACAACCTTACCTTAAACATCTTATACTCGCCTGAGAATGAATATAGAATAAGATCTATATTATATATTATTTTTCGTATCTATTATTTTTAGTAATAATTGGTATAAAAAAAACTAAGTAAAAAAGATGAAATGATTCTTGAGAGAGCGATAGATGTTGAGATATTCATACAAAAAAAGACAACTTAGATTTTAAAGAAAAAATTAGACGAAAATTTTCTATTTTGAGCCAGGACAGAATGGACAAGAACTTGGATCATGGTACATGTCGGTTTAATCAAAGAAGTCAATTAATCCAACAATCAGATTAATTGAAGTTACTATTTTCTCTTGTATTAATTAATCTTTCTATCTTTTATTTAATAGAAAAAAATTTATTAAAAAAATTTACTAAACATATACTGTGAAATAATATAGAAAAGATCTATGTTGAAAATTATATTTGTTAATGTATATTATTTTTTCGTATTATTATTGTTTTAGTAATAATTGGTATAAAAAAAACTAAAGTAAAAAGATGAAATGATTTTGAGGAGCATAATTTGATATTCATACAAAAAAAGACAACTAGAATTTTAAAGAAAAAATAGGACGAAAATTTTCTATTTTTGAGCCAGGACAGAATGAGACAGAACTTGGATCGGTACATGTCGGTTTTAATCAAAGAATCAATCTCATCCCATGAATACTTTCAAGACGAAATTTGAGACGAGACTATAAAATTAATATCGAATTTTTTTTGAAATGGAAAATTCGAGATGATTTTCGAAAATAGATCGGGATTTTCGCAGTCCCGGGCAGTGGGTGTTAAGTGGACTTGAGGCACATCTACCCAACTTGCCTTAAACTTTGAGGAGGGTTTCATTTCAAGCCCGACACCGTCAAACACTCATATTGGATAAGTTGGGCTTGGAAACTATTGTTTCTAAAAAAATTATATTTTAAATATATTTTGTTATTTTACGCCATTTTAGGCAAAAATTTTAAATATAATATTTTTTTTTCCCCTTGTAGTATAGTTGTTACTTTTGATTTTTGGTTTTTTTATTTCTTAAATAGGAAAAATTATTATTTATTTTGGTTTAGTATATAAATGTAGAAAACAAATTCTCACAAAAAAAAGAGCTTGTTTTTTAAGATCAATTTGTATTCAGAAAAATAAAAATGAAAAAACCAAAAGAAAAATTATATTAAACAGAACCTGCATTAATAATAAAAGCCATACAAATATTTCTAGCTGAAATTTAGACAATTGAACCGTCATAAGCATCTTGACGCTTTGGCCGAGTGGTTAAGGCGTGTGCCTGCTAAGTACATGGGGTTTCCCCGCGAGAGTTCGAATCTCTCAGGCGTCGATTGTTTTTTGCGTCCAAAAATTTATATATATCTTTTTTGATATACTTTATTTAATTATCTTATTAGTTAAATTAAATCATGTAAGACGTATAAATTTTTGGTCAAAAGGTACAATTAATTGATGGCAGAATAGAAAATAATATTATACATGGACAAAAATTCAAATGCTTCATTTTGAAGGGCCATAATCCATAATTCCAATGCTTATTAGATGCTAACTTTGTAACCAATTAATTGAGCACGACATAAATTGGTAAGCTTACCTTGTCAAACCCCACTTATCAAACCCTAATTATATCTAAAACCCTTATTTTTGACTTCTTTATTTGGATTAAATAAACTAAATATTATAGTGGAAAAGAAAAACACAATGTTTAGAGTTTGGAAATTCTAACTCGAAGTTCTAAACATCGAAACTATTAATTAAGATGTGTAATTATAGAATATAGAAGATACCTATTCTTATATTCCTTAAGTGAAATTATAAGTTCAAGTTCTCATACATAGAGATATAATCTACTGGAAGCGTTTTATCTCTTTGTAGATCAATCTAGCACGAACAAGGACTAATCAGTTAGTCTGTGAATAAATTTCAAAAAGAAAAAAATTTCTTTGTTTTTTCCTAAAAACAGATAATATAATAAGGTGGTATAATTATAAGACAACTATTGTGCATTATACTAAAGCCAATTGTATGGTATGGTTAATTACAATTCACAATATGACTTCATAAACAAGGAAAGATGAAGATTTATTATTGAGAATTAATCTCTTCCTCTATTAATACTTTACTTGGTTCTTAATAATGAAAATCTGAAAAGGCAAAATATTTGTGCCTTTTGTATAATAACATTTTCCTTAATTGACAATTTGTTCAAATTATACTAAAAATACTTCTAATTGCACAAGAATAATATAAGATCAGAGTGCGTATTTAAAATTGCTTAAAGATGAAATTTAATTTTGCTGTGCATAAGCTGACTTGATGATATTCGTAAGTTGAAAAAGCTTGAGGAGTGAAAAATAGAAAGGTACTCTAGGAAAATGAAGAAATTATATATTAAAAAAAATCGTTTGAACTAAATATAATTATATAATTTAGAGAGAGAGAGAGAGATTGCAATGAAGTTGCATGAAATTTTTTATTAAGATGTGTTTACAAAGTGTCTATCGTATCCTCTTGAGCTTGCACTAAGAGTACAAAAGCCCCCTTTTTCTCATTATTTCCTTCTTAATTTGTACATGAAAAAATTAACTACAGACAATTATTCACCAACTCATTAATCTTTTATTTCCTTTCTCTCTACAACTTTCTCATCTGTATATCCTATTCACAATTTCTCTTCATTGGAACAGTGATTTTAATTTGCACCAATCCGTTCCAAGAAAAATACCTGACAGAGAAATGACCTGAACTACATCTTATACAAGAATCTTGATCTCTTCCAACCCTAATATTTATTGCATACAAAGAAAAGAAAGAAAGAAAATAGGGTTTTTTTATATGTAGAGAAAGAGAAAAAAAACAAGTACAATATATAAAACTGGAAAAAGAAAGGAAAAAAGGGTTTTTGAGAGAGAGAGAGAGCATGAAGAAGAATTTTGTATTTTGTTTTAGGTGATCTGAAAAAGAATTTATATATGTCCTAAATTTTCTAGGACACATATAATTAGGGTTGAGGGTTGCTTTATAAGGGAGAAAGTTATTCAACTTGGAAATCAAGAAAAGGAAAAGAAGAAATATTTTCCATCAAACCTTCCAAATCCCATTCTCCCATTCTTAAGTTTTCTCCTCCTCCTTGCCATTGGTTTTCATGAATTCCAAACATGTCCTCTACTTTGAAGCTCTGATGATGATCAGTGTTATTGAAGCAAGTATTATCATTATTTAAGTGGTTGTTGTTGTTGATATTGCTTTTCGTGCTCTTAATGCTGTGATTAGTTACAGCATTGTTATTATTATTAATCTTCTTCTCTTCAATACTTCTACTAGTCTCTAATGGAGGAAGACAGAGGTCTCTTTCTAACCCTAATTTATTATTCTCATCACTGTCTAAGATCGCATAATCGCCATATAATAATCCATCTCCACTCATACCAACCTGTGTCAAGCATGTGTGCATGTCAAAAACACCTCCAGCCGCTCCGCTCATGTTATTAAACATGAAGAAAGGATCAAAGTGATTTCCGGTGCCAGCTCCGGCGGCCATGGCTTGGATAGATGCTGATGATGAGGAAGATGAGTCCATGCACATAGTCATTAGGTCATGATCATGCATGGGCATGATATTTCCTAATACGACAGCTCCATTAGGTTCTGAAGAAAGATCACTGTCGATTGGTGAGGTTGTGGAAGGAATATTATTATTATTGTTGGTGGTGTTGTTAGCAATAAGCTTCAATCTTTTCTTTAACGTTGAGTTCCAAAAATTCTTTATTTCGTTATCTGTCCTTCCAGGAAGACGAGCCGCAATTTGAGACCACCTGAAATATTGTTGTTAAAGAAAAAAAAAAAGTTAAATAACAAACAAATAAATGTTGGTGAGCATAAAATCAGCTAGAAAAGTATATTCAAATGAGCTTGTGAGCAAGTTTTCAATGCATGGCTTTGCATGATTAGCAACATAATAGAGAAATGAAGAGCACACCCACATGTCTCTTTCTCAGAATATATGCCCTAAAACCTAGCTCCATTATAGGAAGTGTTTACCAATGAAATTGAGTGATGAAATTTAAATATTCATGGTAATCTCAATTTTACTATTTTGAAAGAAAGAAAAATTCTATCTCAAAGTTAAGATTTTTCAATTTCATAATTTTTTTTATTAATAGTGGAATTTATATTCTAAAAAAAATAAACTTTGAACCCATGAACTTTATTTTCCATCATTTGACTGTAAAATTCTATGGATTTCATATTGCATCAATTCCAATGACCAGTAAAGAATTAATTCATTTAGTAAATGATTTTGCTTTTATTTTCATAATTTGGAATCTAAATTCATATTAATTTTTCAATATATAAATATATTTGTTCGTGAATTATATATTCACTTGCAATATAACATCTATATCATGTGGAAGTTTCAAAAATAAATTAATTAGAACAAAAATAACAAAGGTTGATAGAGAATTCATTGCTTTTGAAAAGGGAAGAGAATGTAAATGTACATATATACATTCAAAATATTCATTTTAGTAAATTTTTTTAGTCTTGCTTATCAAAAGAAAAAAGAAAAAGAAAAAAAGAAAGGCATACAATATTCAGCTATTTGGTCCACAAGAAGTCTATAAAGCCAAATTACAAGAAAGGCATAAAATGTAACTAAAAGTTTTTCTTTTCTTGATGTTAGGCTTGTCTAACTCTAATCCTATACACGTGTGGGTTGAATATAGAATTGCAGAATTTATCTATTGTGGAGAAGTGCTAAAACTTCCATTTCCAATGTGCATTATCATAGCTAGCTAGCCGATAGAGTATGGACATTTCAAGAATTAATATGCGTTGTGACATTCTATCTTTTTTCTAATTTCTCTGCTTCATTCTTTTATCATGTTTTTTCTAATCCAAAACGTTGGATTTCATAAGAAAAGCTTAGAACAAGAGAAATTTATTAAGCAGAGAGGAAGGGGAAAAGAACCTGTTGCCAAGAATGGAATGCAAATGGATGATAAGTTCTTCTTCTTGAGGAGAAAAAGCACCTCTTTTAAGGTCAGGTCTTAAATAATTAATCCAACGAAGACGACAACTCTTTCCACATCTCAGCAAGCCAGCATTTCTTGCAATGTCACTCCAGCAACCTTGTCCATTTGTTAGCATATATTTCATCAGCTTCTCATCTTCTTCTGGTGACCATAAGCCTTTTCTTAGCTTTGCCTTAATATTATTATTATTACTGTTCACTCTCTCTTTCCCCATTAGATCGGGCTTTCTCATTCTTACCAATTGTGTTGTTTGTTATCTTTTTTTAACTTGTTTGAGGGGTATAAGAGAAAGCTATATAGCTAAATCATACTATATTTTTCTATGATAAAAAAAAACAGAGAGAGAGAGAGAGAAGAGGAGGCTTCATGAGATGGTAAGAGTGATGATGATGGTGATGGTTTGTGGGGTTTGCTTAGAATATGAATATGTAGAGAGAGAGAGAGAGAGAGAGAGAGAGAGAGGGAGGGTGTTTGTGTTTGTTGTTGGTTGATGGGTAGAGTGGAAAACGGATTGGAGGGGGACCTCCATGGGAGAGGGAGAGAGAGAGAGAAGCGAAGAGAAGAGAAAGAAAGATGGTTGGTCTTCTTGTCTTTGACTCCATCTTGTCTTTTTCGATTCATTTTTCTTCACTCATAAGGTAATCATCATGTGCATATGAGACATAAACAATTTTGCTTCTACTTCACATAAATGATAATGCTTCTCTTTCTTTATCTCTCTAGTTAGCTAATTAAATATTTAGGTTTTTTATATAACTATAGGTTATAATATTTCAAAAACATACTTGTGTTGTTCTTTTTTTAATAAAAGTAATTAGAGTTAAAAATAATTAAGTTTTTATATGAAAAGCTTATTCATTCGGGTTTAGGATGGGATATATTAAATTTTTTCTTGACTTGATGGATTAATAAATAAAATTCAAATTATCGATAAAAAAAGAGATAAAAAATAATTAAAAACACGTAAATTATCTCTTATTTTCGGAAAGAAACAAGACATATATTATAATTTATCCTAATCTACAAATATTTAAAGAGATATACAATCAATTTAATTACTAATTAAAGTTAGAATAATTCTATTACACTAGGATAGATTTTGTCTAGCAAATTGTAAAGTTGTAATTTAATGTGATGAAATACATCATATTTGATTACATTACATTTGTTACAGCCTAGAACGAAAATAGAAATACGAAAAAAATAAAGTGAAATTATATTTTAAATACAATTTTATATGAAAAAATGATATTTTAAACAAGAAACCAGATATATGAAAATGGAGAAACAGCCATGACTAAAAGATAATTTACATACACCATATATTATACCTCACCAAATAAAATCTGAGCGTATATTATTTTTTATAGACCAAGTAAAAATTGATTGTCATCTAATAAAACGGTTATTTTTATCCATTTTTTGTCAGAAAAATACATTAATACCCTTATTACATTTGCCAGGTGTACACACCCTCTAATAGTAGTTTTTTTTTTACGTCATTTTCCTCAACTAATAATAATTAATAATAGTGCATTTAAGTACTAATGAAAACATGAGTCTTACCTGAATTTAAAGTGAATATTATATTTTTGTAGGTGCATTGAATTGTCTTCCAATCAATGGTTGACAAATGTACATCCGCTTTGAGAAAGAGAAAGTGCAATTAAGTACTTTTAGTACTCTTTCTCTATAGGACAAAGTAGCATATATTAGTTAGTCGCTTCTGGTTTAAGATTTTCACGCGGTAATTAAAAAAATAATTAATTCTTTCAAATTATAATAAAATTAAACATAATTCGATTAAATAAAATTAAAGATAATTCTTTCAAATCACAAATATGTCCATTTCAATGTTAATTTTATTATTTAGCAGTTAAAATTAATAAATCTTAAAGATTAGTAGATAATGGTAACATCATTTAGATTGGCATGACTATATAATATCTATATATATTGTGCATATAACTCTGTTCACTCGTCTTCTTGGCAATTTACCGGCCATCTCTTAGATTCGTGGGGCCGTTTTATCTCGCATTTCTCTGTCAGGCCCAGAGTGTAGCGCAATGTATTGTTTGTCAGATATATTAGACTCCTTAATATTTCAAAAACCTTGTTTTTGAATGGAAGGTATTACTCAGAAGAAAAGCCTAAAATATGCCGATAGCGTAGAAACAACTTACCTCTTCATAACTGGATCTTATTTTTCTTATGACTGAATTAGGAAGAAAATGAGAACAACAAAACCTGAAGAAGAGTAGGCCATTGGAAGCGAAGATAGATGGTAAGGTGTCTTTTTCCCAAAATACGAAGAAGAGATTAAAGGAGTGTATGAGTGAAGGGTGGTGTAATTGGGTTGGGTGGGGTGTTTTGTGATGCGGTCCTTAGTAGATATGAAAATAATCCGTACCCAAGAAGCAAACGGAGTAGGAGGCCAAGGAGGAGAAGAGAGCGAGGATAGAGGATGCTATGGGGTTGATTGTGTTTGTCTTGTTGTTGTAGGTGGTTGGTTATTGACCGCTTTTGTGTAAAAGAGTATCATGAGGATAATAAAAACCCAGGGATTGGGCAGGGGGTACCAGCTCCCTATTGGGGTCAAAGAGTATTGGGCGTCGAAAGATGGAGATGAGCAAGGTAGTATAGGCTCCGAGAGCATGAAGAAGAAAAGAGCAAGAAAGAAGTGGTTGGTCTATAGAGCCGAAATATTGTCATTCCATGGACCTTCCAGTCGCCAGATGATCCGTCTTCTTCTTCACCGGATTCCCAATCTTGTTTACTCATGTACTTCAAACTGGGCATGGAGAAGCTATTGAATCCTAGCTTTCCATGGCTTGGCCAATTATGAGTCACGATACCATGAGGAAGAACTACCCTATATTGGTTCACACTCGACTTTCAGCTATCCTTCAAGTATTCGAATCTACTTAATATAATCGATTCTTAAAATGAGCTTATACTCTTCTATATATCTCTATTAATGAATCGTCTTAGCTATTAAAACTGTTTAACATAGCTTTAATTTAAATCTGTCATGTCTAAGGAGTGTCTTATAATTTACAAACCCTAATGAACCTATAGTTTTATATACATTTTACAAGAAATCAAAAAACATACTATTACCTATTGTTGTTGGTGTTCAGTCCAGTCTAATTTCATCTTTATGTTTTAATAAAAGTAAATTAGAGTTAAAAAAAATTAAAGATTTTCTTTGTAACTTTTAGAACTGAAAAAAGGTAGCTGTATTTTTCTGATATAAAGCTGCAATTTGCCGTGGGAGCATTTAAAAAGAGGGATATGAGGATACATAAACATGACTTAATTTTTTCTTTTCCGGTAGAGAACCTTGCTCGAATTCTTGTGGAAGTTAAAGGTAACTATAAAGCTAATCAGTTTCAACACACATAGACGGATTTGAAAAAAAAGAGAGATGAAAAAATACTAATAAATATCAACATACACCACCTGAGTAAGAAAATGCTTATACTCTTATTCTCTTTCGGAAAAGAAACAAGCATCAATTGCAGTAGTCATTCTAGGTAGATCATTTTACTTGGTATAACATCTTCTTCAACTATCCTATGAAAAGTCTATTGTTTTAATAACACACAGAGCTACAGAGCACTTAACCATGAAGAGTCTGTCCAATATTGTTCACTGTTACAACTTTACTAATTAAGTAGAAATAATTCCTATTACCATCGACCACTATTACGGACTACGACACCTAGTCAGAGGCTCCTATTGCTATAAATCCATTGTAAACTGTTATTGTAATATTTTCTTTAAAACTAATGTGCTGATGCAAAACTAAGAGACCCACTCGTCTTCTATGAACCTCGACGAGTTTTTCGTCTGCCCTATTTGCTTACACTGTACTCGATTTTGTTTTAACTTGGACCGAGAGACCCCTACGCAAGACGAGACAAATAAGAAAATACACGAAAATGAAACACATATACAGAAAGTGGGAGAAATAGGGACATTTAATAGTTCTTTTTAATATACCAAATTTTTTTGAATTTAACATATGAAAAATAAATGGGCAAATAACTTTTATATGTTTTTCAAAAACCCGCATTAAAGAGTATGACACGAGCACCAAGAAATATAGTGAAAAAAAATGCAGAAGAATATCCCAAGCTGGCCCATGCAACCAAATAGATCAATTCACATAACACATTATCACAGCCGGCAATAAATTACGCTTAAAATGACCAGTATTCCACACCAACGTTTCGACCTGTTAATATTGAGAAAAAATTTTGAAAGTGCGTATTACTTTTCTATTATTTTGTTTATGACGAACTTCATAGAGGACGCACAAAAGACAAGGAAGTTATAAATATCAATGGTTCGATGTGTTGTCCACTCTAATAAACGGTTTATTTTTATCCATTTTTTTGTAGAATACATTAAAGTGACACTTGGACCGTTTTTTCCATTATTGACGTTATCTAATGGCCACAACGGTGTACACCACCTGAACAATCGCTATATGAGAGGTAAAAGATTAAATTAATTTTTATATGCATCCAAGGTGGGGTCTTGGCATCGCCCCTCTAATATTGGCGTAATATATAAATAATAATAAAATAGATAGTCGCCATTCTAAAGTCTACATTTGAATCATGGGAAATTATATGAAGGTACAGAACTCCATAATGAATGTTCTCATTATGTATAACCCATCTAGGGAAGTTTTACAAAAGCGTGGAGAGGCTATCAAAGTAAATTTATATGGTTTGCCTAGGGGACTAATGTGGAAAATCTATATATGCAGGTCTATCCAAATCAATGGGGATAGATGAATTAGCACAAATGTTACTAACTATCCTGCTTTATTGAGTGAAGCATTGGGATGAAAACAAGGATGTATGCTAACTCAATTCAGCGAGTATCTACTTTCTATGTGATTTCTCTTTATTTTCTATCTAGTAATTTATTAGACGGTTATGGCATTATGGTAATACCATTTAATATATTAGTTAGTCAGACTTCCCTGGCTTTAGTAAGAGGACCAGATTTTCAAGGAAAAAGAAGCAGAAAACACAGGTCTGGTGGTAAAATTGAATGAAAAAATAAGATGGGGAATTAAATTACCGATTGTATGGAGCTTCACTAGAAAATGAGATATTCAGGGTTGCTTTAGACTCTTTCCCAGATTTATATACAAATAAAATTAAAAACCCATAAATTCTGATTAAATTAAACAATTAAAAGATAATTCTCTTCAAAATCCTCACATGATAAATATATAATTAGAACAAT